CTGTTGCCATTACAACCATCTTTCTATTTGCTTTTAAAGTTTTTCTCATTACATTTTTGTTGTTGTGATGGTTAATCCGCATCTGAGGATATTTTGCCATTGATTTTTAGAGAGAGCAGAAGGGAGGAAGAGAGGGGGAGAGAGAGAGAAACATCGATGTGAGAGAGATACATTGATTGGTTGCCTCCTGCACATGTCCTGACCGGGGTCAGGAATCGAACCTGCAACCCAGGCACGTGTCCTTGACCAGGGAGTGAACCCACGACCGTTTGGTGAGTGACAGATACTCCAACCACTGAGACACACTAGCCAGGGCATCTCTTTACATTTGATGACCTGTAGTTTTACTATTGTGTGTCTATGTGTGGATTTAATTGCATATCTTTCTTTAATCCTAGAAAATTTTCAGTTATTATATACTTGAGGATTAGGTTCTGCTGTGATTTAAAAACTAAGTCAGAGTGGTTTATACCAGATAGAAGTTTCTTTCTTTCTCACATAAATTAGGTAATCCAGGTGGTGGCTAATGGCATCAGAGGCTCAGGGACCCTTCTATTTTATTGTTCTGCCATTCTCAGCAAGTAGATTCTCTACTCAAACTTAACCAATAATATCTGTATTCCAGCTACTAGGAAGGAAAAAGGACAGAGAAGGGCCTACCTCCTCCCTTAAGGACATTTCTGGAAGTTGCGCATGCTGCTCTGGTTATATCCCATAACATAGTCATTTGGTCAAACCAGCTGCAAGGGAAGCGGGAAATATTTTTTTTATTGTGGGCAGCCAATTCTCAGTTAAAAATGGGTGATTCTTTTAATAAGGTAGAGGGGGAGATTTGTTATTGGTAACAAGTAGTAATCTGTATTAGAGCTATTTTTATTTCAAATTTCTCCCCCTCTTAATTCTATTACGTCCTCTAGAACTCTTAGTAACAGTTTATTCTTTGTGTCTCGTCTTTTTAGGATTTCTTTTTTATCTTTTTCTGCTGTAGTCTGTGAGATTTATTCAGCTCTATCTTCCAATTTACTGATATTTTCTCTTAAGCTACTAAGTTTTAAAAAAATGATATATTTTTTATCTTGAATCATTTTATGCATGTTTACTTTATAGTCTATTTGTTCTATTGTCTGTAATTCTTAGGGCATGGATTCTTCTAACTCCCTTCCCTAAAAGTTTTTCTTCTTGCGTGTGTGTGTGTACATATATATACACATATGTATACATATTATTGTATGTATATATTGTATGTGTATTATACATACATATATGTGTATATGTGTGTATATATATGTATTTGCATCTCATCATGGGCATTATGGATATTTCTTTTCATGGTGGCTCCTGTATAAAGAATTGTAAAGTATTAGCATGAGGCAGTTTCATATTTATCTCTACCTTGGTCCTTCAGGTTTCCCTGGTTCAAACCAGTTTTTCTGTTGCTTTCTTGGCTTGGAACTGGCACTGCTCTTGAAGGCACATTGACTCCCACTCCTGTGTACAGTTTGGGAGGTATGTGCCTGAGTGGTCATCAGTCTGCTTCCTCCCCTAATTCCCAGGCTGGTGGGAAGAGATATTCTAGAGTACTTTTCACAGCAGCAGAGCCCTTCTAGCGTCCTGGCTCTATGCTCAGCTCCAACTCCACGGCACATGGGCCTCATCAGCTCCCCTCCCAACTCAGCCATTACAGTCCTTGCTCCTAAGTTCCACTTCTGATTCCACATCTTCAGTTGCCTATTTAGTGTCACCTCTGGTTCACCACTTTTGTGTTTTCTTTGTTCCTGGCACCTGAGGATTTCAGTTTCTTGTTTTAGTGCTTCGTTGTATATTTCAAATGTTTTTGTTATATTTTAATGAAATTTATATGTTAGTAATGATGGGTGCTTCCCAAATCAACTTAGTCCATTACAGTGATAAGAAATCTAACAAAAAGCATCTTAAATCCCCTAAAGCAGTAAAATAATAATCTCTCAATAAAAGCGTTGGAATTATTTTTTTGATACTGCTGACACTGGCCTTGTGTTTTCATTCATAACGGGTCCTGCTAGCTGAGAAACTGAAGTTCTGGTCCTGGTTTTATTCCTTGCTATCTGCAAACCTGGGGAAATCATTGAAGTTCTCTGAGCCTATAATTAGCTATAAAATTGGGATATTATTATTTGCTCTGCTCATAGGATTATTACAAAGATCAAATGAGATAATGGATTTGAAAATGCTTTAAAACTTAAAACATTATACAAATTTATGGTATTAGTAATAGCAGTGTTAAGGGTCAAAAACCATTACCACATGCATTAAGGTATTCTTTTTTTTTTTTTAAGGTATTCTTAAATATTAAAATATATGAAAGATCATGCTTTTTGTTTGGTGTAGTTTGCTGAAAAAATCCTGTATCTTGGTAAGGGCTTTTATCCTATTAAAATGCTTAATAAGGGAATTATTTGGAAAACATTTTTCATGTGAAATTTAAGAGCACTATCTGTACTGACAGGGCATTATAACTTTAATAGACTATGAAATTCATCAGAGATACACCCTTAGTTAAAAAACAGAGACTTGAACCTGGAAATCATCATTGCATTTTGTTATTAGGTATTTTCTCAAACTATGAATACTAAAAGTTCTATTACTATTTTGTAAGGGACTATAAATATTTTTTTAATGCAGAAAAGATGCCCTCTTATTTGAAAATGTTGAGAACCACCATCCCAGCCTATGGTACTAGCCTATGGCTGTTTGGCCCCAGACCCTCTATCTCTCACTAAAACATATTCTCTAAGAAAGAGAACTGTGTCATTTCTCAGTGATGTTTGTCAGTCAACTGTGAGGCCTACTGCAGAAAATTTATTTACTAATGTTAAAGTACAAAGTTTTCAAATGATTTACTTAAAAGGAAATTAGAGATTGACTCAAAATGGCAGACAGATATACATATCTACTTATTGCCCACTAAATCTCATAAAAATACATATAGCTAAATATGGATAATAAAATAGAGTTTAATAGCATTTGAAAACAGGGAAACTTACTATCAGAAAAAACAAATTTTTAATAAATTTAAAAAGATATTCCCAGAGAACAAATGTGTGGAGGAACAAAACTAAATGAAACAAAATCCGACACATGTAGAGATGACTGCTGTGGAGACAGGTTTTATTGAACTCTATGCTGAGTCAATGGATATTAAGAAGTAGAAGGGACTCTGGGGCCTTTATCAATTTGGGGAATTAGGGAACAGCATGTGGAGTAGCAAATCAGTCTTCCCCTCCCTGTTCTGCTTGTGCTAAGCACTGGGAAGCTGTGGTGTGAACTGAATCGTGCACTGGGTCTGAAAAAGCAAGGCAGTGCCTGAGTAGCTCCTGACCCTCAGAAGGATCAAAAAGCCTATCAGACAAATCCTCCTCAGCCCCTGTCTGACTACATATCCCAACCCTGTGCCAAAGAGAGGCTATAATGGACAGAAACAGCTTATACTGATAGGGATCTGGAAATCTTACCATCAAAGAAGAGTATACAACCAAGAATCACTAAACTTTGAAGAAAAAGATACAATACTAAGAAAGTGAGGCATTCTACTAAACAAACAAAAATTAATACTTAAGAGAGGGAACAAAAGACTTTATAATATTCTAAAGGGGTAAGAGAGGCTGTCATATCTACACTACAGGGGGAGCCTTGTGTATTTAGAAAGCACGCATAGATCTTGGAAATTTAAAATATAATACTTAAGTTTTTATAAATTTTAATGGCCTGGCATAATAATAATGGACATTGCTGAAAGGCAAATTAGTAGAAAGTTAGGGGCCCTTGCATTGTTTAGAGGTAAAGTACCATGAGAAGGGTAATGAGAGAACAGATGCATTGAGGATAAATCTGTGTTCATCGTTGAGCTAGCGGCTGTTCCAGAAGGAGAGGAGAGAGAATGGAGGGGATAGAAATCATAGAAAAGGCCAGAGAATGGAATTTGCCAGAGTGGGAGAAAGACAAGAACCTTCAAATTGCAATGCTTTAATTAATTCTATTATCTCCAGTTTTGAGGTTTGACTCATCCTCTTTGTTGTAGTGCAAACTCTCTCTCCGTTTAGTTTTCCTTTGTGTGACTTGTTATTTTTGTTTGTGACCTCATCTTTATCAGGGACTGTTTTTTTTCCTGTGAATTGTGGAAATACAGTTTTGCATTTGCTTTTGTGGGCACCTCAGTGTTATCACCAGCAGGATTAATTTTTGTGCCAACTTTGTGTCCTGTGAGATGTCCTGCGTATAAATTCATATTCCAAGCTGGAATGAGGCACAAGCTTGAGGTCTCACTTCCTAACAAAGAGTTTGTTCACTATAATTCTAGGCAGAGGCAAACGTTCTTGCTGTCTGCCTGGCTGTGAGTGGAGTTCTTCCAGTCTGCCTTGTACCTATAGCTTAGCTATTTGAGGGTTCCAGTTTTCTGCAGGTTTCAATTCCAACTCTCTACTTTGGATCTCATAAGTTTCCAGTGATGCTCCAGTGCAGAATCAAATTCAAGTTCCTCGCCTTTAAGACCTCTCTCCAGATCTGCTAACAACTGCTACCCCCTCCCACACACCCTAAAGCTTGCATTCTTATTGCTCCAATTACGGAGCATATCTATGCTATGGGAGACTACGCAGCTATTAAAATAATGAGGCAGTCTACATGCACCCACAAGGAAGGGTCTTCAGGGTATGTACTGATACACAAGTAAGTTCCCTATTTTGGAACAGGGACTTCTCTGTTGCATGAGTTTAGCCATATATTCGCTGGTTGCTCCATTTTATTCAGCATTTCAAGGTGTATGTAATGCCAGGGGTTCACTATTAGCCTTAATCTGCCATGTAAGGACCACAGGGCCCCAGTGCACGAATATGCAATAATAGCATTCATTCATTTGCAGTCTGTTAAAATTTCTTTGGTGGAGGAGAGAGAGAGAAAGATACACCTGGTGTCTTATCAATTGTACAGATACTTTTCATGGAACTTTTGGGAGCTTGTAAGTACTCTTTTGGCAACAGAGGGATACTTTACCTACTTCTACTTGTACACAACATAACATAGCTTTTAGTAGATGCATTCTGGCACACCAAGTATACCAAATACAATAGCTGGTAGAATTAACCACACCAGACATATCTAAAAGAAGCAAAGGTTGAGTTAGTGCCAGAAATGATGTAAATAAAATAGAACACAATTTAGGAAATATTTTTATATTCTAAGTACCTATATGTCTTTGAATTAAGTGTGTGTGTGTGTTGTACTGGGAGAGATGTTTTTAGATTTTCACAGTCTTAAATACATATAGAGGGATTCAAAATTTTAGAGTAAGGAAGAAATGTTAAGTTTACTGAAGAATACTGTCCTTAAATTGAAACTTTATTATAGTAATATTGATGATGTGATTACATTGATCACTGATTGATCAATGTGCATAATCTCATGTTCAATAACCTTACGAGGTCATTATTATTTTAATTTTACAGATGAGGAAACCAAGGTCTAGAGAGGTTAAGTAACCTACCCAAGGTCACACAACAGAGCCAAAATTCCAACCCAGGTTTGTTTGATTCCAGAGCCATAACTAATGACTATCTAAAAGGGCCTTCTTCTAAAAGGTTAATAATATTTAATTACATTTATTTTTTGTGCAAAACAAAGTTGCTTTGTTCATAAATAATATGACTTAGAAATATGTCTCATAATCCATCACTCATTGGAGACCACTCTTAAAATTTTGGTATATTGTAATTATCTTTTTAAAAAATTCTCTCATTTATGTAAATTTTATGTTCTGAGGTTATTGATAAAAGAAAAAGCAAATGCAAGGGCCTATATAGTGATTCTGAAATTTCTCTGCATTCCAAAGATTACGTTTTTATCTGAAGAAGATAATTTATCCTGACTTTTTATTGGTGGAGTTGAAGGATTGTCCCTGGTGATCGGAGCATCTGCTGCAGTTGTTGGACAGACCTCTGCGATCTTCTCCCCTCTCTCGGGGCTTCTGGGGCATGCCTTGGCTGCCTCTCTGACGTCTGTTTCTGATAAGTGGGCTTTAGTCTCTAACAGCTCTTGGGAATTTTGTCGGCAGAGACCCAGTGAGATCATTTTGCTTTCCGCTGAATTTCCTTTCTCTGTTTTTTTGGACTGTTCTGATGAGCATGACCCTGGAGCATTCAGTAATACCTCTGTTCCCTTAGGAACTCTCGGCCTACTCCCTGGTTTTATCTCTGTCTGTACAAAAGCTCCATGTCGCTGGAAAGGAAAACAAAGTTGACATTAACCAGGGAACACAAGTTGCTGGAACTATGAACTGAATTCATGTGTTAGATCAAGTCCTGGTGATTCAGGCTCTCGTGTCTCTGCTTCTTCAACGGCTGTCACCTTAGTCCAAAACTGGAAACAGGAAACAGCAGCATAATGATTACTGGTGAACCTTTTAAACAAATTATAAAATAGGGTGCACCAGAAAATGAACAGAAAGGGAAAAGCAGGAAGTAAGTCAGAGAAGCAGCATCTTGTTATCTGTCGTTCTCAACTCTTATCGTTTGGATTGTATAGGACTGTTCACATCAAATTTCATTTCTTACTCTATAGGTTGCTACGGATACAGTAGAAACTACAGTTTATAGACATGAGGATTTATGATTGCACCCCAAATGTCTGTTAGTTCCAACAAAAGACTTAGTCGTAGTGAAATATGAAAACAAACATTTGTAGTTGGAAAAAATCCAGCAATTGACTATCACATTTCTATTTGGCTTCATAAACCTCACATGCATCCCCCTGCAACACACACACAAGCATATCAAAAAGTTTATCAGATTGCTTTGCTATTACCTTAAGCGAATGATTTTAGTAATTTAAACCAAATTCTAAAGACTGTGATCCAAAATTATGACATCATTCCTTAGCTTTAACTATGGCGTGGTTGGGATTTTCACCCTTCTAATAAAAGGGTAAAACAGACCTTGCTTAAACAGACTTTGAGAAAGGTGATTAGGACTTGAAAAGGCTAAAGCTCTATCGTGAGTATATCCCAACCTAAAGCAGTAAGTAACTGATTCTAAATACTGTCTCACCTTGCCCCGGATAGGCTCATTGGGAGTTTTCCTGGCATCATATTGGTGTATAAAAGAAATGCGCTCTTTAAAATTCTTTTGAAGTTCTGTGGGTGCATCAGGACAAGCAAGTGGAACTAAGGGAAAAAGAGATTCGTGAAGTCAGGACAAAAATTTGATTTGTGGATGGATATAAAATCCGCATTCATAATATTCATGCTAATATTCAAAAATATTCATAATATTCAAAAATGCTAATGAAGCTGTTCTTTTAAGTATAGAAGGTTACTTACACACATCTAAATAATAAATATAATGGGTTCAGCATTCTTTCTCTATGAAAGGAACCAAATCAAAACAACCAAATTTGCCCCACATGTGGAATTACTAGTAATTTAAAAAACTAATATTAATGCAATAATAGTTTTCAAAATCTGTTAGATACACTTCTTGCTCAAATACCAACCAAAGTTTTGGGAAGAGCTTAAGTACAATATATTTTTCAACTTATTTACTCCTAAAAAGGCTATGAGAAGTTTATGCATAAGTTGCTCCCAGCTAGCACCAAGAGAACGAACTGGAAGACCCTGGGGCTGCTGCAGTTGCCATTGAAAACATAATTTTTTTCATTTCCCATAACAGAAGCTCTGAAAATTTGCAAGAGTATTAAAACCTGACTTTTAAATAATCTTTCAATCTGGGTGGTGGGCATATAGTGTTTTTATATTGGTCTCTCTACTCTATATTTAATATTTTAAATAATTTTTAAAACTCACTTTATTTTTAGCATACAAGGTTATGTAAGGAGTCAGGGTAATTCCCAATTTAGTGGCATAAAATTCTGTCAAGCCAAAAATTAAAAAATACTTTCTTTTGTAAAAAATATGTACATAAAACGTTATGTACACCTACCATATCTATGAAATGATAATGAGAGACTGATAACAATGGGTTTGTATGGAGAGAATTAGCCGACAGAGGTGGATTCAGTTTCACTATATATTCTTTTGTACATTTGAATTTTGCACTGTATGCATGTATTAACTGTTAAATATAAACTTAAAATTGTTTTGTTTATTTTTTCCATCACCATTTATCCCTCCAATACCCTCTTCCACCTCCCCTGGCCCCCTCCCCCTGCAGTCACCACACCATTGTTCATATCCATGAGTTCTTTCTCGCTTTATTTCCTTTCAATCATGCCTTTAAAATTAGGGAGGATGCACAGGAAGGAAAAATATGTTAGTAAATTCACCTTTATTAAGCATGCATGAATTCAGTTCAATATTCAGACATTAATATAAATTAATGTTACTAGCAAGATTGATGAGTGTTCACATATATATTACATGATATGAAATGACAATCTTCTCCCAGTTAGTAGGTAAAACATACTAAATGATAACATATTCTTGATTTCTAATTGAGATCAGATATTCAAAACTCATTTTCTACTCAATCATTACCTTTCTTTTAGGATTTGCTAGCACACAAAAGAACAGCAGGTGCCAAAGATTTAATAAAAATTTGTGGACAACTATGACATTGAGAAAATTCTAACCATAACATTTTTTTCCCCACCAATTGGGAAAAAACTACCAGTTTTGGGTGAATGCCTTGGTCCAGCTCACAGAACATTAGTGTTTTCAGAAACACAGTTTGGTAACTTTTTGAATAAAATAAAGCAGCTCTAAATTTAGGCCTTAATGTGGGGAAGAGGGGGCATTAATGAAGTATTCCAAGCACAGGCTTTGGGATAAGACAAACATATTCTCAAATTCGTCTCTACTACATTTCCTAGCTGTGACTTTGAACAAAATCACTTTACTTCATTGAGATTCATTCCGTCCTCTCTAAAAATAGGGATAATAATTTGCTTTCAGAATTGGGAGGATAAAGACAAAATCTCTAAGATGCCGGGGTAAAATTAGAGAGGGTATTCAAAGTTAGGCAGGGTCCAACTCTCTGGTATCCTGACAAAGGGGAAGCCATGGAAGGGAGCAGAAGCATGAATCTGATAATTCTCTAAGGCTTTAGTGAACTACTATGAAGGTTTGGTGGCAGCTTGCTGGAGGGTAGGGAGGTCAGATGCAGCCAGTACAGAATAGGGTGGGGAAAGCTTTTGAAATCTGCTCTTGGCTTTCCCCCACATTGCCTTGGGCAGAAACTGTCTAGCCATCTGTTGTCAATTTAGTGACATCAGAATAGCACAGAAATCCCTCTAGGGTAAGAAGATGATAATAAAAAGGGGGGGTGGCTATGCATCCCCATTGGGCATTTCCTCCTGGATTCCCCTAGCAACCATCAGTGCTGGGAGATTAAAAATACCAGGAGATTGCCTTCTCTTGGTTATGCCTCTTTTTAATATTTCTATTAAAGGGGAAAGAAGTGGAGTCCTGACTTGAGGACTGGTCTAGAGAAGTGACAACAAATGGAGATGGTCAAAACTGGTTTTGCAGGGACTGATACTCTCCAGCCTGACCCTTATTTTTTCCCTGAAATTCAATGGGAGGCACACAAGCCAGATCTTGTCTTTAGCCTTTGACTACACAGGATTGCCAATTCTCCTCAGGGAACGCGACCTAAGATAAACTAGATGGATGCTATAAAAGAAAGACAACAAAATTTAAAATACATGCTATGTGAAGTAGCATTACTAGAATCTGTACAGTAAGAATTTAAATAAGCATAACTTATATGCTTTTAAAGAATTTAAATAAGCATAATATGACAGATACAGAAGATCTTATTAATATGAAGCAAGAATTAGAGGCCATAAAAATCACATGAAATATTAGAAATAAAAATATAATCATTAAAATAAAAAATAAAAAATGAGATAAATAACAAGATTCATGAAGTAGAAAATCAGACTAAGAAACTCTCCCAGAAGGCAGGAGCAAAGGATAAAAAACAAAAATATAAAATAGAAGCTAAGAGACATGGACAGTAGAGGCACCAACACTAGAATCAAGGAGACCTAGAAGGAAATAGAAGGAAATATTTGAAGAAATAATAATGATAAATATCCAAGAATTAAAGTTCAAAGACCTCAGATTGAAAGGGCTCACAGAATATACACAGGTAGCAGGGCCAGGAGTAAGTGAGGCAGGTGAGGCCCATGGGATGCAAAATTTAAGGCGGCACTTGCATGATCCTGGGAGTGAGTGCCTCCTTAAATTTGCACCCTAGGTTTCTTACTCGCCTCACTCTCCTCCTAGTCCTGCAGTGTAGATAACAAAAAATTCACATCTAAGACAGTTATAGAGAAATTTAAGGTCATCAGAGACAAAGAAAAATTCTAAATGCTTTCAAAGAGGAGATGCAGCTTTATATCAAATTTCACACAACTTTGGACACAATGAAAACTGATTTAACATTTTTAAAGTATTAAAGGGAAAATAACTTTAAGCCTAACATTGTTATACCCAACTAAACTATCATTTAACTGAAGCCTAAATAAAAAATATTGGGAGGTTAAGAAGGCCTCAAAATATTTCCCCCTAAAGCAAGCCTACTTTGAAAAATTCCTAGAGGAGGAACTCAAGAATAGAAATAAATCAAGGAGGGTGCCTAAGGTATGTAGAAGAAAATAAAAATTTTTGTTTCCTTAAAAAGACAAAGACTAAAGAACAGAAAAATAAGTATTATACCCATAACAACTCAGAACTAAAATTCTGCTGTTTAACATATTGATGGAGAGTCTGGTGAATATTATTTAAAAAAAGAAAATAGTAGTATAATGATTTCAAAGGAAAAGAAAAGCTCATTATTTGTAGGTGATATAATTACCTAAATAAAAAGCCAGTAGAATCAACAAATTATGAGAATAAGGTTGCTGGAAGGTAAGCAGATAAGTATATAAAAATCAAAAGCATTTCTCTATAATAGTAACCTACTAGAAAACAAAATGAAAAATAAGATGCATTCTCTGTAGGAACAAAAACTATATAGTATAAAGTTTCTAGAAATTAACAAAGAATTCAGAATCTCTCTAGAGAAAAATTTTAAACTTTTAACTTAAAAAAGTAGAACTGAGTAGACTTTCCATACATTTGAAAGAGGATAGTATGTCACTACAAAGGTGACAATTTCCCTAAATTAATCTATAATGTCAATACAACCCAATAAAGTTCTAGCTGGATATTTTGAGGAATGTCATGAATTCAAAGTTTAAATAGAAAAATAAAGGTCCATAAATAGAGTGGTCAACTCTGAAAAGGAAGAGCAAAGAACAGGAACTTTCCCTATCAGATATTTAGACAAACTGAAAATCCGTATAATGAAAACACTTCAGTACTGACCAACTGAAAATGAAACTAAGGAACAGAGCTCAGAGACAGACCCATTTATATAGTGAACCCTAACATACAATGAAGGATGTCCTACATAGCAACAATGGGAGTGTAGATTGTTTAGTAGATGGTATCCAGAAATCTTTACTCCATGGAGAAAAATGGAATAGGTCCTCTTATTTAATACTGCACATAAAGGTGGAATCTAGGATTAAAGACATACTTATGGAAGGTAAAATTATAAAATCAAGAGAAGAAAATATAGGAGAAAATTTTTGTGATCTAAGGGTAGTAAAACTCATGAAAAACAACCAATGAACAACCCATAGTTGATAAACTTGATTACATCAAAATTTAGGATTCCTGTTCAATGAACAACACCAAAGCTAATAGATAGTAAAATGGGAGGAAATACTTGTAACATGAAAAGTAAAAGGGATAGGATATCATTTATTTCATGCATTAAAGGGGGCAATTTAAAGACATTTTCAGACAAAGAAAGGTGAAGAGTTGGCCATTCCTAAACTCTCACAGAAAGAACTATTTAAGGGTATTATAGTAGTCTGTTACATTAGTGGCCCCAATGAATCAGGCATCCGAGTATTCACATCCTTGAACTGTCCCCTCCTCGTGAATATGGACTGGCCTTGTGATTAGCTTTAACCAATAGGATTTGGCAGAAGTAATATGGTGCCAGTTCCAGGCATAAACCTTCAGAAAGTCTTGCAGCTTCTGCTTTTGTGTTCTTGGGAGTCCTGAGCTGCCATGTGAGAAGTCCAGCTACCCTGCTGGAGAAATCACATGGAGAGACCACATGGAGATGAGAGGCCCAGTCATTCCAGTGTCCTAGCTGAATCCAATCCTGAGACAACCTGCCAACTGAATGCAGCCACACGAGCACCCACCAGTAAGACCAACGGAGGAACTGCCCATCTGAGCCCAGTCCAGGTTGCAGAATCATGAGCAAATAAAATGATTGTTCTTTTAAGCAACTAAATTTTGGAGTGCTTTGTTATGCAGATAAAAAATAGAAATATTTCAGAAGAAAGTCAGTTAAATCCATTTAAATGCATCATTTTTATATAGTAATCTAGAACCACTCAGAAGCTCAAAAAATAACAAAAAAATGTCTTCATGGGGACTAATAAAAGGAGAGGAAAGGTAATCTGAGCTATTACAGAGAGAAATTCATTACCCACACATTATGCCTGTCAAAATTGGACATAACTGCCATGTTCATTTCTGCAAATATATGAGATTTTTAAAGAAGCCCACAGCAGTGAAGGACATCTAAGTGGGAAAACATCAAAGAAGATATTCAAGTTCTTAATGGTTACTCTACATAAGAATTCAAATTGGACCCAAACTAATTACTTAAAAAAGAAGCCTTGTTAGATGAGGCTTACGAAAAATGAGGCAAAGTCTATGAAGAATGTTTGAAATCCACTCTCTGTTTCTTAGAAACTTGATCTAATTAAAATAGGAATTTTCTAAACAAGGCTACAACAAACAAGTTGGTATCTAGCCATCTATATTTTATCAACAAGGTCAAGATTTATTCAAATACAGAACTTACTCCTCATATCGGAGGAAACTTAGAAGTTTTTACTTTGAGAAATTTTCTTAACATTTTGTTTGTGCCTACTTAAAAAAATGCGTAACATTTTTCCATTAGAAATCCCATTCTTCTAAATAGTTTATTTTGATCTTATATAAAAAGATTATTAATGTAAAAATAATAGTACAGATTTTCAAAATATAGTGAAAAAACACAAACTTGAACATAACTATAGCAAGAAATTGTTATGTTACCCCTTGGTGCAAAAAAAGCAACACAAACTAAAACCTAGTTTAGAAAATGATTTTTACCACTGTGTCTGAATTTGAAATTCAAAAGAATGTTAAAATGTCAAGTAATCAATAAACAGCCCAAGTTTCATTTAAATATGAAATACCTCCCTCACAAATTAGATCAGCCTTTCCAATTTATAAAGCTTTATTACATAAAACCAAGAGTGAATATTTATTCTTACAGGGACTCGGATATGATGGAATGTAGACATTTGTTGAACTGACTGTGGATGGCAGCCAGGAAATTGCGTGGTGGTACAAGACATAAAGGGCACTTTCACTGTCAGCACAAGATGAAATGCCAAAGACCAGGCATAATTAAGTGGGTTGATGGAACAGAATGACTATGAGATGACTTATAATTGGCATTAATGCATGTTTTTATACACATTTTTATGTCCACATGCATAATCTGGCACATACAGACTAGTTTATATACATACTTCAGAATGTTACATTAAAATATTTTCTTTTAAAATCATCTTTATCTAGTATCCAAATACCATCTGACATATGAATAAATTGCAGGCCTATATTGGTGTGTATGTTAGTTTAAATTACATTATAACTTTAATCTGTTGGATAATATGCATTTATCATTAAACTAATCAATAAACATTGAGTCTGAGCATTGTGCTAGGACCTGAGATACAGTAATGATCTTGGCAATGAGAAATACCGATAAAAACAGAAGGAGAAGGGAGAGGAGGGAGGAGGGAAAGCAGGCAGGCAGGCGAGCGGAGGGAGAAAAGATGTCCATGCCAGGTTCCCAAGCTAGGTTCCAACTCAGCACCTAATTCAGTACAGTGCAATCATCAATAATAGAAATAGCTACTATTCGTTGTCTGCTATGTACTAAGTAGGGTGGTAGGCACTTTATTTCTCAGGACAAACAACGAGAAGTAGCTGGGGAACTTAAAGGAGCAGGGTGGTCTCTATGTTTGTAGAAGGTCCTTCTGACGATGGCGTGGAAAACAAATTTTGGAGAAAGGAAGGAAGCAGGAGAGCCGTGGCCGCACTACATTGGTAAGAAGATTTGGGGTCTATTTTGAAGATTTGCTGATGGATTGGATGTGGAAGGTAGGGAGTTCTGGACTGACTTCTAGATTGGCAAAACTGGAGCGTCTGGGGGAACATAAGTGGCACTTACTGAGAGGGGAAAGACTGGGGGGACTGGGCCTGGATGGGGGACAAGACGCTCTAGTCCCCCTGTGCTGTTGGGGAAGATGAGCTCTCCAAGAAGAGGCGCTAGGTAGGCGGCTGGCCGTGCAGCCTTGAAGCTCAGTGAGAGGCCAGGGCTGGAGAGGAAACTGGTCCTTGTGTTAGCTCCTTTGACCTTAATCTCCTATTCCTTGTGTCATCTACTTTGGGTGGTATCTCTTGAGTGCTCATGTTAAATAATGATAGTAGCACCCTTCTCTTCTACTTTCCATCCTCTGTCAACTGTATATTTACTCTTCTTGTCAAGGCAGATAATATAACTCCGTTCTGTAACCATATTTAAATTTTCCATATTGTGTTTATAAATTGATGCCAAAAGTTGAGACTTGCTAAATAGCATTTACAATATAATTGAATTTTTTTCACTTACGGTCCAAATATTGTTCCAGGACTACATTTCTTTCCTAGCGGGTCCAATGCCCAGTGCCACTTGGGGAAAAAAAGGTTTTAGTGTCCATGTCAAAGAATCCTCTTTTCTAGGTTAAAAAATTATTTCCCCTGAGACCTCTGAAGACATCAACTACATTGTGCTCCTGTCTCAGTGCAGCTCCATTCCATATTCACTCCATCGATGGTGACTTATTTTTTTCTTTATGGAATCTTCTCTTTATAACTGTTATTTTGCAATTTCACAGTGATAGGTAGGTGTGTATCTTTCTCTCTTCGTACTTCAAAGCACTTAGTAGACCCTTTTATATAAGTCGGGAAACTTACTTTTACTCTAGAGGCTGTGAAGAGCACTGGTTATTATTACAGGTGCTAGAGTCAGACTGAGTTCAAATACTGATTGTTTGCTGTGTGACTTTGGGCAAGTTATTTAAATTCTATGCTTGCTTTCTTATCTGAAGAATGAGAGTATTAACTGTATTGCTACCCTATTCTGTAGGGTTGGTGTGAGAACTGAATGAGTCAATAGAAAGTTCCATAAAAGTTCTGGCAAATAGTATGTTCTCAATGAATGTATTATATTGATAATTACCTCGCCTTTGATTTTACCCTTTTCATTTCTGGAGCTGCAGAGAGGTTGGACCTTCCAGACTGATTCTCCATTTTGCTTTTATTGTCTCATATTTTCTAGTTGTTTTGTTGCCATTGTTTTATGCTCTGTGATGCTTCCTTAAGTAACCTCTGGTCCCCCCACCCGCTTTTCCTTCCAGTACGCCTGCTGATGGAGCCTGCCTACCGCTTTGGGGCTTTGACAGGCAGATCCACTCATCTCGGCTGCGCCTCCTGTATATTCTAGGCCTGTTCTTCTTTGCTTGCTCTTATCCATGAACAGGCTTCCATTTTTACATTCCAGAAAGTTCTTCCTTACATTCTCTTTACCTTTATATATAATATTGCCTCCTATTTTAATAGTTACAATTTAAAAAATTTGGTGGCAATAAAAAGCAGACTGCTACTAAGTTTCTGACTTGGAGGCTGGTGTTTACTGATCAGTACACTTTTTATGATGTTATATTAAAAGTGTTTGGAGATAAGCTGTGCACCAGGAAGGGATAAAGAACAAACTTGTCAAGGGCTGCGCTTGCTGTATGTGTATTTTGAACTCCTATAGAGAAGTTTTCTCAGGAGGTGTCAGCAGATCCAATATATCCTAAGTTGATAGGAGTAACCTGAGATCATAGAGAAGAGGTGTTACCACTGCTAACCTTACCTATTCCGCAGGAAGGCTTTTGCAGCTTGCTGTGTTTGACTGGAAAAACCAGGGGACATGTTGGTTTTTGAAAGTCACTCCTCTGGGTGCTCTTAGTGTCATAAGGTGGTTGGAAGTGATGTTCAGGTTCTTCACCATGGGACAACCAGTCACCCTTTATGGAAAAAAATTGGAAACACAAAATTGGATACTGTAGGACATTTCCATATGCTTCTTAATGTCCTTGAATATTCAGTAATTTGATTCCACAAGCCATTGGATATTCTAGTACTAGAAGTTCTGAAATCTAAGAATATATTTTCACAAAGACTGTATTTCTTAAAAGACACCTAAAAATGAAATATATATTTTTTAGCTAAAATACGGATGCTAAATTCTTAAACTACCTTCTATTAACAGATGGAGTTATAAAAATGAACAAAATAGTTATATCCCTGTTTTATACAATTTTATTATATATGTACACATGTATGTATATATATAGATATTAAACACAATTTAATCTGAAATTTTTGTACACTTTTCATTATGATAATACAAATAATGTATTATCATTTGAGATGGTGGTTTTCAAAGCTTTTTATCCTTGACCCACACCATGAAATATACTTTATGTCCTGCAGGAGGACACAACACATACACATACATAAACTAAAACAGTATCACAAAACAGTGCTTATTATGTGCAGTGCAGTGACTACTTTTCTATTTCATTGCTTTTCTCTTCCATTTTACTTCACAATGCCTGTTGCAACCCACAGTGACTTATAACTCACTAATGACTGCTTGAAAAACTTTGTTCTGAGTGGAAATATTTCTGATGTTACTGAATTTTTTTTATGATGAAACCTGACCTGGGTACACAGGGAAGGGAGAACTGATAGGTTCTTATTAGCACATATGACCATTTATCACGTAGAAGCTGAGAAAGCTGGGAGAAAATTCCCTACAGTTACTCGACTTAATTCTGACTCAAATGTTTTTTTGGAAACTGATGGATCAGGTAGAAGTAAGAGAACCTTGAGAGAAGGCAACTGTGACACCTAAGAGTTCTTGGGTATTATTAGAGAATGACACCTTAGGTATAATCAAACACCTACCTTAGCTTTAAGAAAGGAGATGAGCCTTTTTAAAAAATCAGCTATGGTTCTGTAGTCAAAGACTTCAAAAATATGATCAAGGGGGATGAATATGAGATTATTATAAGTAAAACCCTGACAATGCAATTGAAGCTACATTGATATAAAAAACAAGAGGCATCTAAAGACAACTGTGTGGCTGCATGGGGAGTCAGCTTTGACATGAGCTTAGTTTCTGAAGACAGCCATATATAAAAGGGGCACACTATCGAATTCGAAAGAAATGATTTGATGCAGTCAACTTATCAGGAGATTGTAAAGAAGCTTAAATAGAAAAAATTCATGAATATGCTAAAGGCAGCAAAAATAGGGTTTTTCGGGATGGGGGGTGTGAGGGGGTGGGAATTCTGTTGTAGTAAGAAATCAAGGAAAGGCTAAAGATCTGGAGAAGAGTACGCTCTTCAGAACTTATAGTCAGACCTACTCAACTTTAGGTTCTTTGTTTAAGGGAAATTATCTTCAAACTGAAAAAGTTGGGATGAAGAGGCATAGTTGAAGAGACAGTTGGACCTCACTTTGCAACTTGAAATGAGCTCCAGCCTTCAGGACAATGACTAATTGTAACCAGAGGTAATGAGTAAGTTTGCAGAGATCAAAGAAATGTAGGAAGTACAGGATTTTGGAGAACAGGAGAGACCAGCTGCCTCATTTTTCAGAATGGGTTAAAAGGTGAATTACAAAGAATAAAATTACTTGATGTAAATCCTAGGAATTCTAGAGCAGATTACTAAACAGATGGTGTCTCCTCACTATCTGGCTGAAAGTAGTCACTTCTTACTGTTATAAGCATGCCTGGCTGTTGCAGCTCCATGACTATGATAGTGCTCGTTAAGCCCAGATGTCTAGGACGTCCAGGCCTTCTCTCACTCTCACCACAAGTCTATGGAGGTAGGTACACCCACTTTACAGATGAGAAAACTGCTGGCAGATTAAGTAACCACAGTTCAAACCCCTGCCCATCTGTGCAAGCCTCTCATTACCCTGCCACATCGCTGTATCAAATCTGCTGCAAAGCCAGATGAGCACACACTTACTTAAATTATTTCAAAAGTAAAAATAACTGGATGCTAAGTGAGGGTCCTGAGAAAGATATATGATAGGCTTCAAGGATTGCACTTAATATCATCTTTTGTTGACCAGAAACTTATTTTGCTAATACCCAGGAACTGGGAAATTGATCCTGGGATAAGTGAACCACTAGGAAATACCTGGCAGGCCTCATTTTTTTTCTCAAACCAGAGTGTAATGCAAAAACTATCTTTAAGTGAGAAATACTGATTCACCTTTCAAGGAGAATTCTTTTGAATTTAGAATTTTACCAAAATAGACTCCTGAGTTCCACAAAGGAAATAAGGAATAGTTTTCCCTAACATGTGATTAATGACTGTGAGACCCCCATAGTTGGAGAAAATGTCCTGATTAGTGTTGTCAGTTGGATGAATTCTCACTTCAGTAGGATGAAATCCTACAGTTCAAAAAATGTTTTTATCGTTTCTATTTCTGGAGTCTGTCCCATCCCTGAAAAGTCTGGTTTGTTCCTGGAAGAGGGGATGTGTGTTTGCACCCATTCTTAGGTGCTTGCCTTTTTTGTCCAAGCACTTGCTTATAAGAGATTAGGATTAAAGATATAGGTGGAGGCTTGTTTTTTCCTTCATCTTGTGCTAAAGGGAGAGACTGCAAATTTACTTCCCTGTCTACTGTCGCTTACATTGAATTGTGAGGGGTTGACACGGAGTTATGCTGAGCTATGTCAATCTGAATTCCTCTAGTGATTGTTTTGTCTCGGCTTTGGGAATCAGACCACATCAGGCGGATGGTAGAAGGGGATTTGCCTAAAAAAGATAGTTCCAAGTTCAAAACTTTGGACCCAAGGAGAGAAGGAAATCCTTCCTTCCTGCCCAAGGCCTGTCTCCTTTCCTGCCCCAGGATGACAGTTACTGGGGTTCCATGGTAGGGAGATGGCTGGAGATTCCTGATGACGAGGCTGCTGTTAGCCTGGCCCCTGAAGGACCTCAGAGCCATTGCATGAATCCCTTAGCCGCATTTGGAAACCACTGTGAAGCAGTCTATGTTATACCTGTGTTATCCCTAAGCCTTTAGCAACGCGTTAGGAGGCATTACTTATTTTCCATTCTTTGGGAAATTAATGGAGAATCCTCAGTAGTAAAAGCGAGACATCCTGGAAAAACCAGTTAAAAGAAGCAAGAGGTAAGCTGAGCTCCACATCAGCAGCCACAGTGGCCTGGCCAGGAGAGCTGGCGTGGTGGTGAGGTGTGGAACATAAAATCACACTTGAGGGATTCCTGGGGAAATGTGGACTTTTAATAACACCTTACACATAGACAATCACGCTTTACTCGTAGAGCTTAGTGGCTTTAAAAAACTGAAGTGCTATCACAGACACTAGAGTTATAGTCTGAGCTCATCTCTAGTAGATACCAGGAGTGCTGACAAATCTTTTAAAGCAATTTGTAACACCCCCAATTAGTGGTTCCTAAATTGTGTTCTGTAGAACACCAGTTCTGCACCATATTAATAGGTGCTACATAAAAGAGGTTTCCATAGTTAAATACTGGGAAAGATTGAGATAAGCAAAGTTAAACAAGCTTACTACGGGATTTCTCAGAACCTTTATGTACTAATGTGAATTGTGAAGCTCAGAGAAAGGTAGATAAAAATACAGCTTAAAAATATATATATTTGACTTTGGAACTTTATTTTATTAAGCATATAAGTAAGGTCTAGTGCTCTGAAAAGTACACCTTGGGGAAAAAAATCCATTTTGGAAAGCAGTGTAATCTCTTTTAAAATACCAATATTTAAAAATACAAGACCACTAAGCTAGTTTTCATTGGGAGTGACTAAGCTGAGCACCTTTTTACTCCTGCTAGCACCACCAATTTCATGTCCCCAGGTAGAACTGTGTAACTGATTATTTCATTTAAAAACCTTACAAATAAATACAATCAGCCAATCTGGTGTTCTAAAGATATTATCTTGGCAAAATACATGAGACAACAAATATGTCCATTTAAATATTTAGGCAACTTTATTTTCTTTACTCTTATTTTAAAGCCAGCAGTACTATAAACCAGTTAGGTTTTTATTTTTAAAAACCAAGCTAACTTTTAAAAAGAAATGTGTCATCTAAAATAAAAAACAAACTTTGCAAGTATGTGAAGAGCACTTTTTGTTACTCTTTGGATACTTGGAAATTAGCACATTTACGGGTTTTTATTGCTGCTGTTTTTGTTTTCTAAATTATGAACACTCCCTTCTCACAAGAATCAAGCACACCATTAACTCTGAGGCACCTTCAGTCTTTGTAACCCCTCATTCTTATCCACTGTCCACCTCTCAAAGGTCTCTGACTCATTTAGCTTTTAGCACTAACAAAACAAAGATTCTACTGCTACTCTGTCACCCAGTCTTGCTGACAGCAGCTCCTAACACTTATGTTCATTTATTTTTTCAAGAGACCTACAAATTAGGAGTAAGAGAAAATTATTAAATTTTGAAATTTTTACATTTCATATTTCTATTCTTAAACTAGCTTCTTTTCCTTAGTGTCTCCAACATAAGGATGGGTTCAGTTAGCAGCCTGGTTTAAATTCTATAGAGCCAGAACTCCATAGAGCTCAGGAGAATCAGTCATTAACGTTTATAAAACAAATGAGGACTTCAGTAACCTGGATTTCTGTACCATGCGTAATTTTCCCAGTGTATGCCTAGTCAATTTCTTTTAAATCCCAAATAATTTTTATAAAATAAAATGTCTTAAAACTGCCCTTGTAGGGGTTTATGCCCTGATATTAAAGCATATATGACTACAGGAATTCCTGCCTCAGGAAGATCTCACATCCACACCACAGTCTGCTGTTTTATAAGAACAGTTGATGTTATCATTGTAAAGAGAACCCTCTAAAAGCAATCTCCACTTCAATGTTAAATCACAGCTACACCTAACTCATAACTATATCCAACTTTACACGGCAAAAGGAACTTTGTGGCTGTGATGGAATTAAGGATTTTGAGAAGGGGAGATTGTCTCAAACTATCTGGTGGGTCTGATACAATCACAAGAGTCCTTAGAAGAGGTTAGGCAGGAGAGTCAGAGGGAGAGATGCGAAGATGCTTTGCTGCTGGCTTTCACCAAGAAGGAGCCATGAGCCAAAGAATGCAGGCAGCCTGTAGAAGCTGGAAACATTCTTAGAGCCTCATGAAGGAGCCAGCCCTGCCAATAGCCAATGAGGCTGATTTTAGACTTCTAAGCTCCAGAATTGCAGAGAATAAATGTGTGTTGCTTTAAGCTAGTGTTTAAGTGTGTGGTAGTTTGTCACAGCAGCAGTAGGAAACTAATACAATAAATTGTACCTCAACAAAACTGACTTCTAAAAAGATAATGGAACATATTTTAGTATAATAGTGAATTAAAAGTATGGTTTGGCTAAAGCAACAGTCCTGGGTCAGAGATATGACTATGACATTTGCTTACTATGTCATCTCAGACATGTTAATTTACTTTTTAGAGTATTTATCATCTGTAAAATATTTCCAGTACCTCCTAGAAATTATTGCACAGATTCAAGGATATAACACGTAAAACACTTAGCTCATTCCTAACACTTTGTACACTTTCAATAAATGGTAGATACTATCTTATAGAAAGTATCAAATTACTGAGTATCATGGGAAATTTTTGTATTAGAATATGTCACAAATACAATAGAAGGGATTTCTTCAGCAACCTTCAAGCACTACTGTGTGGCTATATATATATGGAAGGAATCCAAATAATCATTTTTCTAGAATGAATATGGAATATATATATGCAATATATGTGAAATATATGTGTGTGTGTATATGCACATAGTTTGTATGCAAAAGTTATCTGTGAGTACAGTTCCAGGTTACTGCTTTTAACTGTTGGCTTACAAAAAGTATTAGTCTGAAGTATGTTACATTTAAGTAAGTCGCCTGTGACCAAATTATTCTGCCAAACAGCTTCTGAATCTAAATCTATATTTGTATATAATGAACATCTGTCCAACCTGATTTTCTGCCCCTTTTTTGGTATCTATGTAGGGAACTGGTTCATTGTATGTTCTTGCATTTGTGTCAATGAATTTAGCATAATATACACGTCCTCTCCTGACACATGGCTTTGAACATGGTATACTTTTTCTGGGTTCTTTTTCGTGTGTGAACTCTTTTTTTTCGGTTAAATGCACTATACCAGCATCTTCTATTTTATGCTGTCTGAAAAACAAAATAACATAGTAAATTATTTATTACGATGAGCATTTCAGTAGAGAGTTATAATTACACAAAATAAGATTTAAATGTATTTCACGCACCAGTCAAGACAGTTGAGGCTTTATTAATAGTTTATAAGGGGCTTGTGCTATTCAGATTTGGAGGGTATCTTCTCATTTTAAATCATGTGAGATACAAGATTTGTGTTAGCAATGGTGATTCATTCCAGTACACTAGTGCAGTGTACGGACTCTCACTTGCTTGGAGTAGAGAAAGGGGAGTGATCTTATCATGCTTTCAAATCATATTTGCAGTATTTTGTGTGTGTGGTTGTTACATGCTAATCTTAACTCATCTTTAAAAGTTAGTTACCTAGTAAATTCACCATCTGGACAAAGACAACTATTTAACTTTAAAAGTTCACCTGGCAAACTTATAAAAGCTACCAAATAACCACTACTATTTATCAAAAAAAGTCCACTGTGCAGGAATCAGAATGATTCAATTTCTTTTCACTTTTTGCTTCTAATAACTACACTGGTACAAAAAAATGAAAGTTACTGACTTCTCTAAAATGTTAAAGAAATGTTTAGAAAGAAATAGTTTATGGAATTTTCTCCTTTTAAATAAGGAGTAATAGACATTATAAAAGGGAGTATTTAAATGTCATGTACTTGAAAAACAAAGGTAAGAATGAAATATATGAATTAGAACACTTTTATATAGAAGCTTTTACAATCAAAGCCCTGACCCATGGAAGGTGAGTGAATGAGTCCAAATTTATAGAGAAAGTGAATAATTCTGTTTAGTCTTATACATGGCCCTTAAATATAATCCCTACCTTACTTCAAACCAAAGCCAGGTCCATCTCTTTTATCAAGTCCTTTTTCAATTAAAACCCTCAAATGGCTTTCCATAGCATTTGCAATAAAATACTGCCTTAGCTCTGAGGTCCTGTGGGACCCTGCTCCACCTCCTGTCTTCAGTTGTACTCAAGCCTCTCTCCTCTCACTTCTCCAGCCAGCCCCCCTTCCTAGCCAGAATCCTTTCCTCCAAGGACCCGATTCCAGTACAAGCATATTGCTGGGTTACAACTACGAAAAGTAGGTGGCAAAACCTGATGTCAGAAGTCTACAGTGATGAATCAATCACAGTCTTTAAATAAATATTTATGTCTCTGGAAAGGTAATAGAAAAAAACCTTAGAAATGATTTATACTTTGCCGGTAATCAGTTTTTCCAAATCCTTTACAGAGAGCAATTTCTGTTGGGATGCAGGGAACTGGAATCCAAGGGTGCTGAGTGTTGTTTGTGGGTGTTAGAGTAAGGTTGGGAGTAAGGGTTGGGAGTGTAGGGCTAAAACAAAGCCAGAGTGAAACAATTCCAGAAGATTCTCTAGTAACAATAAATATTCTACTGGCTCCGAATATAAGTATATAATGATCTGGATGGTGGGTACCTAATGATGAGTGAAACACAGTCTTTGCCTTCATGGAATGTATCGATTAGTAAAAGGTATTTTTTAGCGTTTATCAAAAAGAAGTAAACAAAAACTAGGTACATCAATTATTAATTGTGGTGTTATGAAAGAAGTGAACAAAATACTAAAAGGGAGACTACGTGGGGCAGGGAAGGGGAAATGCTCCTGAGACGGCTTTTAAGCTGAGACGTCAATGTTAGTGAGCCAGGTGCCCGGGAGCTGGTGCTGAGGCAGTCCCGCAGCGGGAAGGCAGCGTGTGCAAATACCGAGGGGACAGAGGCTGGGGGCAGGCGGGGGTGGCGGGAGCTGCATCTCTAAGTTCCCAGTGATGCTGGTCGGGGCGCCACCCTGAGAATCCCGGCAGATGAGGGCGAGGAGGCCTGTGTGGGGGAGCCGCAGACAGGCCGCGTCAGGAGGAAGGGGCAGGCTGTGTGGGCCCCTGAGCCACCCTGGAGCCCGGCTGTTCTCCGCAGGGGCGGGCTGTGTGGGCCCCTGAGCCCCTACTGGACCCCGGCTGTTCTCCGCAGGGGCGGGCTGTGTGGGCCCCTGAGCCATCCTGGAGCCCCGGCTGTTCTCCGCAGGGGCGGGCTGTGTGGGCCCCTGAGCCGTCGCTGGAGCCCCGGCTGTTCTCCGCAGCGGCCCGGGGGCCGTGACCCCCTCGCTGTGCGGACTCCCCCGGGGCGTGCGGAGGGGCCGCAGGGGCGCGGGGAGGGCGGCTGCTGCGCTGCCCAGAGAGGAGACGCTGGCACTTGGGCCCGGGAAGGGGCGACAGTGTCGGGCACTGGCGATCGTGGACCCCGGATGTGTTTCAAAGGTAAAGCCTACAGAATTCGCCAGCAGATTAAATGTGGCCGTGTGAGGAGCGGGTGACTCAGGGCGACTTCGAGAATTTCAGGCCGGGCAGTGCCTGTGAGTCCTGACACACGGTAGGTGCCCCGTGAACAGCGCGTTTTAAAAAGTATCACTTGTAAGTGCTCGGCTACTCGAGAGGAGGCGGAGGGGGAGCGAGGGGAAAAGCCCTGACGCCTCACTGCCCCTTCCCTCGAAGGAGGAACGTGGTTTTGGGGAGGAAAAGTAGGAAGTCAGACGCCAGCACTTACTGGGGCTCGTCCTTCGGCTCCTCCATGGCCCCTAGGAGCCCTCACCAGGCGGCGAGGCCCTCACGGGCCGTGGGGATCAGCCCGGGCGGGGAAAGGGCGGCGGGAACCCGGCGGGGACTCGGTGGTTGCTAAGCGACGGCGGCCTCGGGAGCGAGGCGGGGGCGGGGCGCGCAGGCGCAGGAACCCGACTCTGGATCTGGCGGGTCAGCGTGGTGCGGGCGGGTGCGGGCGGCGGCCGGGTGTCTGGGCTGCCTTCCCGGACCTACCCCGGGCTGGACACCCTGCCTTTGAACTTGGCCTTCACACACTCTGGCCGGGAAGGACCTTTGTCAGGCCCCACCCCACCCTCGGGAATCGGCGAGGGGGCGGCGTGCAGCCTCCCGTGGCCCTGGCGCCGGGGGCGGCCTGCTAGTGTCCCCGCGCCGCGGCCCCCGCACCGAGCCCGCGGG